CGGACTTTGTAAAATAACCCCCAAACGCTTCTGCTGTGGATGCCTGGACATTCAGGTTTGATTAAGATGTACTGCTTGTCTCAGATCCATACCCTTGGTCTACTGTGTTCAAAAAAAGGAAACATTAAGATGAGGTGGTCCCTGAAAGCCAGATGAACAACCCCGAGAGATAATTTAACTACTCTGTGACCTGTATCAGCCTTCATTTCCTTGCTGCTCTGCCCCAGGCAGAATTGGGAAGACAGTCACCTGGGGCGGGGTTCAATGGTCACCAAGAGGGAGAGGAGAACTGAATGTGAACTGGTGGATATGGTACCCCTGGGGGTGGGGGCTATGATTCTAGAAGAGAGGAATAGTTTGGTGAATGACCAGATTACCAGAACTTTTAGGGAACCCTCAAAGCCCAGCCTGATACATTTTTTCACCCATGAAAGAAACAACCAGAGTGTAGGGGTGGGGACACCAACAGCTTCAAATCAGCCCCTCCCAAAGGGCCGGTGGCTGAGCTCGCTCGGTGGTGGAGAGCCCGCCTTTTTGCCCGTTTCCTAGCTGGTGGCCTGCTGAGCTCTGCCTCTGTCCATCCAGTGTCCACCGCGGAGCCCGGCCAGGGCTCCCTTTTCTTGGGCGATGTACTTTCAACCAGTTTTGAGCAGCCCCATTTCAGATTGGCCTTTTTATGTTTGATATAAAGAATAGTTGTTGGCCAATTTCATCTTTTCATCGCTGTTCTCTAGGCCTGAATCCAAGCAGTTTGTCAGATGCTCATTAACTCCCCCTTTGGCTCTTTCTAGTGTGTCTCCTAAGCTCATTGTGCCAAGAACTAACGCTTTCTTTTACACGATTCTCTTTCTCTGCTCCATCAGGGAGACAAATTACTTTCCAAAAGGGATCGCCAGGGATGGTTTAATGAGAATTTCTTTGGGGCTAGGCATGGAACGCAATGTAGTTAACATTCGGTGGACTTAATTGGACTTTTCTTTTCTGCCTCTTTTAAAAAAAATCTGAAGCTATCCTGTTAATCTCTCATTTGTAATCAATTGTGTTGACTAAACAAAAGTCTAGGTCGTCTTTTCTTCCTGTCCCAGACAATCCTTTGTTGCCTCTAAATGCCTCATTCTTGAGTGATCCTGGTCTCGTAGATGGGCCCGATTGTTGACAGTTCATTATTGCGCTTTTGTCCATTTAATCTTTCTTGCTGTGTTTTGCATGTGCATGCCTTAATGAGCTCCGTTGGCAATTAACATGTTTCTAGGAGCAAACTGGTTGCTCAGACGGTTGAGAGGGAAGTGCAGGGAAAAGGCCAACGCAGCTGCCTTGAGGTTGTTTATTTCCCAGCGTTTTCTCAAGACTCCTGTCCCCTCTTTGGCAGCCCCCCACTCCTCACTCTCACTCCTCCTCTTCCCCCCGCAGCCCATTCAGCACCGGCACACCTGGATGCCTTGTTGCTGTAACTCTTGGGCCTGGCTCAGGCAGCCCTCCATCCTCTTGTGAGCCAAACAGCAAAATGGGGACCTTACAGACCCACTTCTGCAGCCAAGGCAAGGAGCACAGTGCTCCCCCAAATATGTCTGGGTGCTGGCAACTTCTCTGTGTCGCCCTTTGCAGAGAGGAACCTCTAACCCGCCTAAGGCAACAGGACTGTACAATCTGTTATGTTCAAGGCTGTGGCTTTGGAACAAGGGGAGGGTTTTTTTTTTTTTGAGTTTTGCTGGCAAGATCGCTGAAGTGTGAGCAGTCATGGACAGAACAAACATCTTGTAGGGGGAAAGATAATTGGAGTCTTTTTGTGTCTGTGACAGGATCCCCCCTCCCCCGCAATTTGATTTTTTCCCCCAAATATTTTTTAAGGGTGGCCTCTTCAATTTAATCAAGATTAGAATATTAATATGCAGCTGATGACTACCTTGTTTAAGTCGTTTACGGACATTGCAAACTACAAGTCATGCAAACAGTTTAATATGAAGAGGGGGGGAAACCTCAAAGACTGAGCCCGTCACCCATCAATTCCGATGCACAGTGAATAACTAAGAAGGACCCCCGTTAAGATGGTGACTAAGGGCGCTGAGTGTTGCCTTCAGAACCTGCACTGTCTGTGAAAGCTATTCAGTAATTCAGACAAGAGGTCCCCTTTCTCTTCGCATGACTTTTCGGGTGAAGGAATCCTTGATTGCACCCCACATCGGAAGGAAACAGGCATCTTAAGCCTGGGAGGGATGACTTTAAACCTGTGGGAAGCAGAGCGAAGCCCTATAGATACAGAATCATTCTGTTTACCCACAATTACCACCAGATGTGAAATAACACCTTCTCAGGTGAGAGCGATTGACAGGTTAAGTAACAATCAGTTGGGAGGAAAGCACCTCAAGGAGGTCGGAGTAAGCAAAGCCCCGCTCAGGTTTGCCCCAGAGCCCCAGCCACCGCAGAGAAGAGCAGTCCAAGAGAGGGAGGCCTGCTGCTCCCCTCGCTGCTGTTATCTCATCTGCTGTCTAGTTGGCAAGCAGGCCCCCTTCACCCCTCGTCAGAACTGTACCTGAAACACATCTCTCCAGGGTCATGAGCTGGGGACCCTTTCGGTGTTTCTCCTGTGAAAAGAAGAATTTCTGAAAGAAAGTTCTCTCACTTGATGGTTAGAAAGTTATTTCCCCAGATGGGGGCATCCCACCTATTTTTTCATTTATATTTTCTTCTTAAAGGAGCACTTGAACACGATTTCCACACGCAGGCCAACTTTTAATCCCAGTTCTCTAAGAGGGTGCCTTTGCAGCAGATTTTGTGCTGTTTACCTCTTGCCCAAAGTTCTGGAACTACTTAGAAAGAATGTGGGCTTGTCCTGGCCATTGGTCGTTGTCCAAGAAGCACATCTGCAAAGGATCCTTTCAGGAATGCAAGAAGGAAGGGATTTTGGTGGAGACCACTGTCAGGGGCACCCAAAATCTCCCCGAAATGGGGGCGGGCTGTGAGGAGAAGGCGGGGCTAATAAAACCTATTCTGAGAACCCGGGTAGGCACCAACTCCCCAAACCCGGCCTGGAGGTAGATGTCTGGGAAAAGCAAGGCGGTATTTCCACATCCTTGGCCGCCAAGCCGTCCTTGCCCATCCCAGGGTTTCCTGGGGGCTGTGGCATCTACCGAAATTTCAAAGTTAAATCTGCCTCTCCCTCTGGGTCCCAATCTCCCCTCAGCGAACTGCAGCCAGAACGAGCTAACATTTAAATTCCTCTTCGCTTCCTCCTCCCCCCCTCCCCGGGCTGCATCTTCCCAGACTTGGGGAGGTGGGGGAGGATAGAGAAAGGAGGACGCGCTCCTTTCAGGAAATGGAATTCTAATGTACACGTTCCTATTTCTGCATCGGAGGCACTAAAAATAGCCCCGCGACAGCCTGAGGAAGCTGTCGCCTTCCTCTGTGCAAACAAAACCGACACTTCTCCTTCCCCGCGCAATGGGTCTGCGGGTTGGACGGGCGGCCGGGACCCCACCGTTGGCGGCGACCGGGGCGAAGCATCCACCTAGCAGCCGGGAGCGTCTTTCCTTGGGTCCCCACTTGACGATTTCTCCAAGGACAAGGACTGGAGGCCGTTTAGATGCCCGTGTAGCCTGGATTCGAATCCCAGCCCCACCTCGTCCCCATAACCCTACCATGTCATTTAGCGGATCTCTGCCTCCACTAGTCAGTCCGTAAAGTGGGCACGATCCTCCCCATAGCGAGTGGCGAACACTCGGAAGAAGGGCCTGGCATGGAGCAGGCGCTCCGGAAATGCCAGCGTTTAAAACCTGCAAGACGAGCACTGACCGCCTACTGTGTGCCGGGCTCGGGGATGACCAGACAACAAATCGCGCTCACAGTTACTTGGGGATCTCCTCCCTCCTCAATTCTC